CAATAATGCTCCAGGTCGAACTTTGGAAAAGTATGGTTTAGATTTAGGTCACCGACTATCATTCAAAGCGAACAGACGTCTTTCCTCTCGCAGTGATTGGTTGTGCATACTTGTGTGTTAACATTCCGTTAATCGCGTAATCTACTTTGTGCTCATATTTGTTTTTCTTCGACTAATTAATATTGTGCCAAACCACGTGATAGATACCAAACTACTTACATTTTAGTTCTGTTATCATGGCCCCGGGGCCCCCGGATAGGTCGCCAAATAGATTCTCTGCTTTAGCAGATTTTCTAGACATCCCAACCAAAAAGAAAAGAAAACCTAACTCAAATACCGACATTTTCCCAAAACTTACTCTAAAGCGTAATGCCACACCTAATCCTAAATTTATATTAATTTCTTCACNCACCCGCAAGTCGCAGAGAAATTCTTGAAATAGAAACCTTTTCTAACCTATGTCTAGTAAACGTCAAACTTCATGATACCTTAAACTCCGTAAAAGGTGTTATTTATGCCCCTTGCTTAAAGCACGTGGACGAAGAGGAAATAATCAATGAAATGAAAGACCAACACGTCACAGGCGTCTACAAATTTTCCAAGATAATAAAAGGCGAACGAACAATTACTGGCCAAATGGTCCTTACTTTCGATCTATACCGTCTCCCTGAGACAGTCGACGTTGCTTGGTATAAGGTTAAGGTGCAACCCTACATCCCCAGCCCAATGAGATGTAAAAGATGCCAAAAATTGGGGCATACCATCAAACGTTGTGAACGCAACCCGATGTGCTTCATCTGCAACCTTCCTCCACACGACCCAGAAGATTGCACTAGAATCCAATGCGCTAACTGTGAGGAAGAACATCCTTCCTCTGATAAGAACTGCAGTAAGTTTAAAGAGGCCAAAGAAATTCTGAAAATCCAAACCTTGGAAAAATGCAGTGTGGGCGAAGCCCGACGAAAATACAAAAGCACTGTACGCCTCCCCCCACTTCGCGGCCCTTATTCAGACATAGTCAGGGAAAATGAAACTAACTCTTCTTCAAATGCAGTATCGAAAGATATCGCCACAACATCACCACAAAACCAAAATTCCAATAATCTAGAGTCATCCATCATAACAGAAGCAACCACATTAGTGGTACCTCAAAACCAACAAAAAGAACAACCACCTAAAGAACAACCACTTAAACAACAACAACCAACAACCTCAAACAACGCCAACTTTAGCCTGGCATCAGAAAATCCAAATCCAGTTGCGCTACCTAGCTCAACTAGTCAAACCAACCAAACAACAATGTCACCAATATCTCTTTTTACCCAAAACCTCCTAAAAAACAATGATTATTTTATAAAAAGCGTCGAAAATCTCGACAATCCTACAAATCTCTCTGCAGACGACCTTCAGCATTAATATTTATATTCTCTCCTTGTAAAGTCACCTTTCAAACGTGGAGAATCTTTCTTTTTTCATCATGAACCTGAATATTCTACAATGGAATATGAAAGGTTATTACAATAACTTCTCAGAATTACAAATTCTGATCAAGCAACACAACCCAAGTATAATCTCAATACAAGAAACACACTGTAGCTTCAACTCTACACCAACTTTTCCAAACAATTACACTAACTACTTTACAAACACTACAACTAACACAACATCCAAGCAGGGTGTTGGTATGATGATAAAAAACCACATTCCACATAAAAGGATTAACATCAACTCTCCTCTTCAGGTTGTTATAATAGAAGTTGAATTAAACATCAAATTCACGGTAGCGTCCCTATATCTACCGCCTAGTCAGCAATTTAGTAGTAGGGATCTTACAGATATTTTCTGCGCAATAAACACTCCGCTAATAGTACTTGGCGACTTCAATGGATGGAGCCATTTATGGGGATCAAGCACCACCAACCACCGCGGACTCACTATTGAAAATGCTTTAAGACTGTCTGACCTATGCGTCTTGAATGATGGTAGGCCGACTCATTTTTCAACCCATTCCACCTTCTCCCACGTTGACATCTCCCTATGCTCATTTCCTTTAATAACATGGCAAATTCTAGATGACCTCCACCATAGTGACCACTTTCCCATAATTTTGAAGTTTACAC